CTACTCCACAGCCCTGCAATATCCTTTCACTGGCCTCACAGTATTCTCGAATACAGATCATACTATAACTTAAAAATGTATGGTTAGAAGTAAGACTACAATGAACACCCCTAAAGACACCGTTTTTTCCTTTAGGTAAAGGTCTTTGAAGTGGAAGCGCTGGGTCTGAGGGTGTATAGTTACAGCCTCAATCTGTGATACCAGGCCACCCTTGGCACCAGCAAGGGACATAATGGTTACGTTGCTGAACTCCCAGTGTAGTCGACCCTGGACCGGGCAGCTTAGACTCATGCTGGGCATGTGTCCGTGCGTGCCCAAGATCCTGAGGAGAATGAAGGAGGGATTGCAGCATGGCCATCCCTCCTGGGGAGTGGTTTCTCACTTTCTGTCTCTGTCTTTCCAGTGCATATATCCTATATGTTTAAAAATACTCTACCTTTACACACAGTTTAGGGCTTCTAGCTAGAACAGAACAGACGATTCAGTGGCAAACTCTCAATCTTATTAGAAATTAGAAATCAATATAAATCTAACAAAGATACAAAGAAATCATCAGCTCAGCTCACATGAGACCTTTATTCCAAATCCGGTAACACATAGTTCACTAGTATAAAATAACTCAGAAATAAAAACTCAATCAAATGATCCCAAAGAAAAGAAAAAACCCTGCAATGATATAACCTTCCTAACTCCTTAAAAACTCAGACTGGGGACCAGCAGTTAGCGTAATGACTATGTCACTGGACTACCATGTAGAAAACTCAGACTGGGGACCAGCAGTTAGCGTAATGGCTATGTCACTGGACTACCATGTAGTCGACCGCGGTTCGCATCCCAGACCCGGTGGCTTAAAACTCATGCCGGGCTCGTGTGCGTGCGTGCCAAAGTCCCGAGAGGAGAATGGAGGAGAAGGGACTGCAGCGGGGCCATCCCCCCTGGGGGGTGACTTCTCACTTTCTGTCTCTCTGTCTCTGTCTGGTGAGTGGACACACTCTATAGCAAAAAAAAAAAACCTCTTAAAAAACTAACAAACAAGCAAAACCCTCAGACTGAGCACAGCACGTCTCTCCTCTTTCTTCTGAAGGAAGCAGGTCCACCTAGACCACTGGTCTCCCTGCACTCTGCACCCGGACCGCAAGCCTGGTCAGGACAACGGCTGAACGCTCCCTCTTCGTCCTTGGAAACACTTGCCTGTAATTGCCCAGTTTGACCCACACGATCTGCTTGTAATGCAGTTTCTTCCCAGCCCTGCAGTCGTTACAGTTCCAGCAGCCGTCTGGCATTTCTATGCCTAGGCATTCCGGGTGGAAGGACGCTGGGCATGATTCACAGCAGAGCAACCGGCCACCTTGAAACAAACAAACAGTCTTAATAACTGAGAGAAAGGAAAGAGAAGAAGAAAGAAAATGACAGTTCTCTTTTAAGCGCACTGAATCTAATTCAAACAGAAGAAAAACAACAAAGGGATTTGAGCTACAGTGATGGATTAAAATAGAAAGCAAACAAACACACACAGCTACTTTTCACGGCTTTGGTGGCCAGAAACTCAGAGCTTTGGAGCAACACCCAAAGTGTCACTGTGCTCTGCTCCAGAAACCGGGGGCTGCTGGGGGATCTGTTTAGCACCTCAACTCTTAACGTAGGACGGAGTAAACACAAACAAATTTCTGGACTGCTAAGATGTGAGGGAAGGCTCTTCAAAGAAATAGTAGCAATTTTCTTTTCTCCTTTAGAGGTAAGAAGGCGACAGTCACCCTTGTATTTTAATCCAGCGCCACGGCCAACTAAATCCCTTCACAGTATAAGTAACAAGAATGAAAACAGTGGACAGGTTGGTAAGGACTTTTTTCCCCCCATAAAAGAGCATTAAAAAAAATCCAAAAGAATCTAGATTCTAAAATCGGTCACTCTATCATTACCTTTTCGGTGAAAATAAAGTCAAATCGGCTATAGAGCAGTGGCTTGTGGGGTCTCGTCACCAGGAGCCCCTTCCTCTTCCTCATAGAACCCATGTTGCCAAATATTTTATCAACAACGACAACAAAAATCTGTATTTTAAAGTAATGATTTCTCCTATTTTTCATAACCAAAGAAATGATAAAAGTGGCAGTCAGATTTTGGTCTAATACAAACCTAGTATTATCATGTTCAGTTGTTAAGACCATGGTCAAATATAAGCTCACAGTCTTATTTTGAATGAACATGCGATTCTTAGATTCTCAGTAATGGTTGATGAATTTTGTCTCCTGAAGGGTCTCCAGACCTCGTGCTGAGAACTGCTGTATAGCATCAACCGGGCCAAGTGCCCATGCAAGGAGAGCCCTCCAGGCCACACCCAGACTGTCTCCTTTCAGATACACAAACCAGTCTCTGGATTGAGACCAAAACAAATTTTGGCAAAGAAAATATGTTTAAATGCAGAGAAATAAGGGTTTTTCAGGGGCTGGGAGGGTTAGGCATTTCAGATATGTATCTTAACAACTGACAGGGAAGGTTGTTAACCACTGAAGATAAAATATAAAAAAGATATTCATTGTAAAAAAAAATCATCTTCTCATAATAACTCACGAGTATACTGAGATCTAAAGTCTCATAAGCAAACGGTTCGGAGCCCTCTAGACAATTTTACCAAAGTCTGTGCTCCGACCTGTGAGGGTGGCTATTAATTCTCCAGAAAATCTTGTCTTCTTAGAGACCTTCCAACTTCTAACTGGTTAATATAAAAACAAAAAGAAAAATCTAAATACAACCAGTGATGAATTAAATGACTATATTTCCTCTGCTTAAAAGCTTTTACTTGAATTGTCACGATTTTTTCCGAATCTCTGCAGATTTCAGCATGAATGAATTGGTTCCATTCTCCGACCTAGAGGTCGGCTGCCCGAGTGCTCTAAACCTAGGTAGGGAATTGCGCTACGAGTTTAATGTCAAGTGAGAGGGTTGCTTCATCGAGCAGGATGGCAACAGGGAGAATGGGCTTTGCAAAGAGCTTTGGAGGAGGTGTGGTTATTAGCACTGACGTGCAGAAGTCAGGCTGGTCATTTCCAACATTGTGAAACAGCACTTCATATAAAGTCTTATTTCAGAGGAAATACAGAGCCAGAGTCATCCAGTGAAAATCGTCATGATAAAGATGTTAAAAATACACAAGGGAGAAAGAAAAAATAAAAATACAAAATGATGCACCTGGTGCTATGCAAGAAAACTGCTTTAGGATGCAAGAGAAGTGAGATGGTTCAAGCTAAGCAAACAGAGGGCTCAAAATAATTTCAATTTATGTCGAGGTTAATACCGAGTACTGAAAACAGAGTAAACAATAACTGAATTAATCGACTTTTAGAAAGGTGCCAGCAGGGAGAGAAGGCATTTCCTAAAATGCTCCAGCCTTGGGACTCACCTTGTGGCACTAAGGAGTAAGTCAGACCTACGTCCACCCTCGATTCGGAAGCAGGTGGTGCCACAAATGAGGTGCTAAGACTGACTTCCGAGGAACATAGACAAACGACAAAAAAAGCCAATACTCCTTCCAATACTTGTTTATAGCTTCTGATCCACTTGCCTTGTTATACTGTCTCAGGCACGGGCTGCCACTTCAGATGTCTGACAAGAACTACGATGTATCAAACGGGCAGCACAAAGGAGGAGGGGGAGGCCCGCTTCGAATACTCGTAGTGCGTGCGTATGGGATACATGGCTGAGCGGATTCTTCTCTAAAGGTTCTGAACCTAGGCCCTGGCTCATATAGGAATGCATACTGGGAAAGGCCTTCACTTCCGGAGCTCACTGAGTTTCCCCACTGCAATAATAATTAACTCGCCAAATAATACATTTTGGTTAAAGTCACTCTTTACTTTGGTTACAAGTAGACCATGGATGCTAAACACAAGATCTGGTTAACCGGGAGACTAGAACTCTGCTGTCGGCTCCTGGTCCTCCGCCCGGCTGCCCTCCAGCGTCCAGGACTCTTCCCACACTGGCTCCGAAGGGAAGGCAACTAGTGGTCACAGCCTCTGAATGGCACGGTCAGGAAACACAGTGACAGAGCGTGGACTGCAGCCCGCGTCTGAAGTCCCATCGCCTTGTTTCTTTCTCTCGGTGACTGGTGCTGTTATTTAGCTGCGAGTTAGTAACAAGTCACGGTACCTGTGCTATTCTCTGCTGCTATTCTACAAGGATGGCTCTGCATCAGGAATAGAGAAAGAACCCTTAGGATGCTCCTCCCTACGAACAAATCCTAGTCAGGGTTAGTCACTGCACATACAGAATGGATGAAAATTTATCCTAGGCAAAAAGTAAAAATTTGTAATGATGGAATTATTTTAAGCCCTTTTTAATAGTTTTGCAGCCGTATGTAGACACAGTCACAACCACCAAGGCAGAAGTTACCGAAAGCAACAGACGGTGCTCGACAGGCATACATCGCCCCCCTTCGTCGAAAGAGAAAGAAAAGGAAATGCAAAAATAAAAGCAAGAGACAAACTATTTTGGTTATTACCTTTCTCACATTTCTTTTTGGAAGCTGACGAAGAAGGAATCATAGGTAATTTCATCAACTCAGCACGATTTGACTCGTTCAGTAGGTAGTGGGACTTATAGGCATATGAACTGAACATGGGGTCTGAATGGTCCTGAACTATCAGCCCTATACGGAGCAAACAGAGAGAGAGGAGCTGCAGTGAAACTACCCATGATTCCGTGAGAAAACAACAAACCCACACCTTTGCGCATGTGCTCTACCGCTGGGGGGCGGGAGGACGTGAAGACAAAGTCTGACGGAGGGCCTCTCCAGTCAGCAGAGGGAGTCTGGGCCACTCAGCGCCTCGCCCCACTACGACACCTGCACGGCAGAAGCAAGCTCCACGTAACCGGAAGATGTAGACAGCATTTGATGCTGCACTACGAACCCTCAGGAAGCACAGTGACAGTCCTTGACGGCTAAGAGTCCTATGATGGCAACACTGGCACAGAGGGACAGGGCCCGTCATCAGCTGGAAGTGGTCCTGTTTACAGAACACGGTAGACCCTGGTCTCCCTTCCACAGTTCAAGTCGCACTAAGGCAGAACTGAACCTCTCCTTTTCTCCATTCGTATTTGGAGCTACACTCAGATTCTAGCTTTCTCTGCCAGACAATAAAGCGTTTTCTCTATCAATATGGTGCATGATTGTAAAGGAGTCGTAGTTCTTCAAGCTTTACGGAGGTAGCGAACCCATTGTACTTTCTTCCTGCTCCATGTAGAGTGAATACCAACAGAAGGGTTTATAAGAACAATCGCTTTGTTCCGCCAGTACAGTTCTCCTGTTTGGAGGAAAACACAAGACCTCCTCTAAGCCACCTGCCACTTGGCCTTCTCTTTAACTTCCCAGCCCCTCCATGCCCAGACACTCAGCCTGAGCGGGACCGAGGGGAATCTCTGTGTCTGCACCTGCAGAGCTGATCACGACCTCGGACTTCCCGCTACATCGTGACAGCAGTTGGGTTCATCCAGGGAGCACTTCGTGGGGAGGGAGGAGAGCGGACTTTGAAAGCGTTCCTAGTTACTTTTCCTGGGGTGTTATCTTTCTTTGACACTACTCAACACTGAGGTGGACTCAAGATCTAATTCTGACCCAGGTGACCGTACGGAGCTTGGAACTGCTCGGACCGTGTGACTCTTCACTTAACAGAGGGGCACAGTGTATAGAAACACACGGGCACGGAAATAAGAAAGAGCAGATACAGATTGCTGGGCCTCCCCTTCACTTGAATGAGCTTAGGCAAATATTTTATGTGGGCTTCACCCGTATCGAATGGGGAAATAGGAAGCCAGCAGTGGAGTAGTGCTGAAAGTGCTAGATGCCACATGGCCAACTGCGGTTCAAGTCCCGGACCTGACAGCTTGAAACTCATGCCAGGTGCATGTGTGTGCATGTCCGAAATCCCGAGAGGAGCATGGAGCAGAAGGGATTGTGGCACGGCCATCCTCTCTGGGGGACTGATTTTTCGCTTTCTGTCTCTATCTTTTTAGCAAGCACACATGCCCTATAGCAAAAACCTCTCACAAAAAAAAAAAAAAAAAAGTTAAAAAAATTAAAAATTTTTAAAAATGGGGAAATGATTTCTTTGAGTGAAATAAAGTGCTCTTAAAATTACAATGAAAAGAAAACCCAATACCTTCCCCATTTACAATCACCACTACAAGAAAAGTGTAGACTATTAAGTAGTTCCTCTCTCAACAGCATCTGGATCCAAGGGGGTGCTGAAAATCCCCATGACCACGCTGACCACACTCAGGGTGCCCGAGCTCTCCGGCACTAAGTTAGCTGGAGGGGAGGCAGGCCATAGTTTCTCTAAACCTCCACACATTTCTAAAAATAGTTCCAGAAATGTCTGGAGAAATATTTAATGATTTTAAACATCTAATAGCCAAAACTAAAAGTCTTCTGTGCTGAAAATTTCTATATAAGGCAAGAGACAAGCAACATAAGCTTTTCCTAATAGCAAACATGAGTGATTAATATGTCTCTTTCTGGATGGACACATAGTACTCAGGCCTCTTTAAGCAAGTGTCCTCTAGGGATCAGTAGGTGGTGTAATGGTTATATCTCTAGACTTCCACATGGTTGACTGCAGTTCAAATCCTGGACCTGGAGGCTTGAAGCTCATGAAGGGTACGTGTGTGAATGCCCACAACCCCGAGAGGAGAATGGAGGAAAAGGGACTGTACCATGGCCAACCTCATGGGGAGGGTAATCTCTCACTCTCTTTCTCTCCAGCAAACGCATGTGCCGATAGCAAAAGTCTCTCTTAAAACATAAAGGAAGAGGGGCTCCCCACGTACTTGTGGAAGAACACATATTATTATCATGGTATATACACACTTTGCCAGGAAGTACTATGTGCTTGCAGGGGGCACAGGTGAGGGGAGGATACTCCCTGAGGGGGCGTGGCCACACTGCAACCCCTTCCCTTCCTCTGTCCTGTCTGGACTTTAGGCATGCATGCACACATGGCCAGGGCATTTTTTTCATGTGGGTGGGGCTGGGATTTGAACCATAGTTGACCATATGGGATCTGGTTTCCTTAACCACTAAGCCAAAAGGCTGGACCCACATATTATTAATGGCTGAAAGACTTCTGATGTAAACCTTCTCAAATCTCAGCATCTAATCTATTTAGAACAAGTTTTGGCCAAATGCTAGAAAGGAAAACAAAGATTTGTGTTTACTGAAAAATTTCACAGAAAAAAATTGGAATTAAATAATCTTTCTTGAGGTAGGCATTTAAATACAGTAAATCTTTCAGATAATTGCTGAACTGATTTAAGATATAAATGCCAACTCTATACTAAAGTTTTTCCCCAATTAACATTATTCCTAAGCTTTTAATCAAGGCATGTAAATTAACTTAAACAAAATGGCCAGAGATTCTATAAGTGAACCAGTTTCTGCCTGTCAAGATTGACTGAAAATACCTGTTTAGAAAGTCTCACAATAGAACCAGCAGTTAGTGTAATGGCTACGTCACTGGACTCCTATGTAGTTGCCGTGGTTCGAGTCCCGGACCCGGTGGCTTAAACCCACGCGAGGCGTGTGTGCGTGTGTGCCCAAGATCCCGAGAGGAGAATGGAGGAGAAGGGATTGTGGCATGGCCATCTCCCCTTGGGGGGGGGGTGATTTCTCACTTTCTGTCTCTCTGTCTCTGTCTTTCTGGTGAGCGCAAACGTCCTAAAGCAAAAACCTCTCCAAAAAAAGAAGAAGAAGAAAAAAAAGTCTCACAAGAGGCCAGCAGGAGGCGTGGAGGTTAAGGCACCAGGATCTCACATGGTAGATAACGTGGTTTGAGTCCTGGACCTCATGGCTCGAAAATTATGCTGGGGTGTGTGAGTGCATGCTCAAAATCTTGAGAGGAAACTGAAGGAGAAGGGACTGTGGTGTTGCCATCCTCCCGGGGGTGATTTCTTACTTTTCCTTTCTCTTTCTCTGATGAGTGTGTCCCCTATAACAAGTACTAAAAAACAAAAACAACCAAAGTCTCACAATTACTGAATGAAAAAGAGAAAAATAAACATCAGCTAATATACTGATGGTACTTGACTCAGAATATACCCCAAAGTAAGCCAACATGATTGTTAGAAACTTGGCATTTGGGACAGTAGATGGCATGGTGGTTAAGGTGCTGGTCTTCCACACGGCCAACCACAGTTCTAGTCCTCGACCAGGCAGCTTGAAACATACCAGGTGCATGTGGATGCGTGTCCAGGATCCTGAGAGGAGAATGCAGGATTAGGGGCTAAGGTGTGGCCATCCCTGCTGGGGGATAATTTCTCACTTTGTCTCTCGCTATCTCTCTCTGGCAAGTGCACGTGCCCTATGGCAAAATAAAACAAAACAAAACAACACTAAAAAGAAATAAAAACAAATAAACTTGGTATTTAAAATGTTGGCTAAGTTATTTACATTTACGTTCTTCTGCTAGTAAAAGTGTGTCCCTAGAAGTGGTAGAAGAGAAAGTGTGTAAAACTGAGACTCCATCACTGACTCTCATCTGTTTAAAAGCCTCTGAAGCTGGCATTCGAGCGGTAATTCAGTAATCCCGCCCTGTGACTGCCTTCTCAGGAGTGGGGAGTCTCGCCCTGTGACCGCCTTCTCAGGAGCGGGGAGTCCCACCCTGTGACCGCCTTCTCAGGAGCGGGGAGTCCCGCCCTGTGACTGCCTTCTCAGGAGTGGGGAGACGGGAAAGGCACTGGCGATGGCTTGCCACTTAGTACTTGTCTGTCTGACTCTTTCCTGCCACCTGCTTACAATGTGGCATGAAACCTCCTCCTCCCATGCCCGCCCCGTCTCAGAGCTGGGTGCAGCTGCAATTGCTCTAGCCCAGAGAGACACATGCTTCTCCTGCTCTGGAGGCAGGCGGCGCTGTGCTCCTGCAGTGTGGCAGACAGAAAGCGAGACCTACGACCGCCCTAGCTGGTTGCTACACAAGGACTACGTTTCCTCGTTGTTTGCCGCCTACCTCCTTCAAGTTATTTTTAGAAAATAAGAGCTACATAAACAAAACAATCTAAGATAGATTAGCTTAAAGCAATCTATGTTAGTTCAAAATAAGCCCTGTTAAAATCTAAACTCTATTAAAAATATTCTTATACTTTCACCAAATTAAAAAGGAACTGTCTTCTGGGGACCAGCAGTTAGCGTAATGGCTGTGTGGCTAGTCGACTGCGATTTGAGTCCCAGACCCGGTGGCTTGGACTCACACCGGACGCGTGTGCGTGTGTGCCCAGGATCCTGAAAAGAGAATGGAGAAGGGATTGCGGCGTGGCTATCCCCCCTGGGGGGTGATTTCTCACTTTCTGTCTTTCTGTCTCTCTCTGTCTGGCGAGCGCACGCGCCCTATAGCAAAAACCTCTCCAAAAAAAGAAAAAGAAAAAGAAAAAAGAAAAAAGAAAAAAGGAACTGTCTTCTAAAGCAAAACACAAAACACATCTTTGATGTAGTCCAAATATAATCTAACAGAGTGATATGCCTTAGAGCAAATATTTTACACTGAGGAGAGTTTAGAAGAGTTAATACTTATATTAAAAACAAAACAAGGGACCAGCAGTTGGCATAATAGCTATATCGCTAGACTCCCACGTAGCCGACCGCGGTTTGAATCCTGGACCAAGTGGCTTAAATTCACACCAGGCGTGTGTGTGTGCGTGCCCAAGATCCCGAGAGGAGAATGGAGGAGAAGGGATTGTGGCGTGGCCATTTCCCTTGGGGGGGGGTCATTTCTCGCTTTTTGTCTCTCTGTCTTTCTCTTTCTGGCGAGTGCACGCCTTATAGCAAAAACCATTAAAAAAAAAAAGTAAAACAAACAAAGAACAAAAACAAAACAAAATGGGGGCCAGTGGGTGGTGCAGTGGTTAAGGCACTGGACTCCCACATAGTCAATAGTGGCTCAAGTTCTGGACCTGGTGGCTTGAAACTCACACGGGACATGTGTGCATATGTGCCCCAAACCCTGAAAGACGAATGGAGAAGGGACTGTAGTGTGGCCACGCCTACTGAGGGGGGTTCTCACTGTCTCTCTGTGTCTCCAGTGAGTGCACATGCCCTATAACAAAAACTCTAAAAAAAAAGGAAAAAAATAACACCAAACAAAACAAAATAAAAATAACGTGTGGGGACATTAGTTGGTTTCTGTAATTCTTACTAAAGTACGAAAAAAGCTTTATAACAATATAGCTAAGTTGGGTCATATCTAACTGAAGAAGTCCTCATTTATATTTATCATGAACTTCAGCGACCCCTCAGGGACACGGTATAATTTCTAGCTGATCCATCTCCTGGCATACTTAAGTACCAGCAGCTGGCAAGTGAAAGCCTGCTTTGCCGGCTCTCAACCACATCACACATGCTGGCTTGGCTGTGTCCCACATGGCCTGCCTCAATGCCAGACCAAACGGTATGACAAAACACAACATAAACAACAGGAAATAAATGTGCTAATATAGCTCCCCAGAGCATCTTGATCAGCAGAAAGTCGGGTTAAAGAATATGACATGGAAGGATCTAGTTTGAAGAGCATTGTTTGCAGAACGCAATAGATTAATCTTTTGAGGTCCCATTTTGAAAAATTAGAAAATTATAATTCTAAGCTTTTTGTAAATTCCGATTTTAGTATAACTTTCAGAAGAATTACTACCACGATAGCTCATATACCTAACGTTACGAAAGGGACCAGTAACTGAAAACATTCGTCTCTCTTGGGGACAGATGCCGACAGTCTGTGCAGGGCGAAGGCTGTCCTAGCAGGCCTGAGTGCTCGTCCAGCTGAGACTGTTGTCAGGGGGAAAGGTGCTGATGAGCTCGGAACGGGAGAGAGGAAGAACTGCACTCACCTCTGGCACAAACGAAACAAAAGCCTACATTTACAGCAGAAGAAGAATTGCTGCTCCGTTTGGAGTGATTACTACAGACGAGCACGTAGGAGGACAGGAAGACGCTGCCGGCGGCGATGCAGGCGTCCCCGGAGTGATAGGCCACTGGACAGCGCAGACACCTCATCATGCGGCCTGCGGGCGAGGCGGGAGGGAGAGTTACAAGAGGGCACCAGCTGGGTGTACATGAGACTTCGGGGTGGACGGTCCCAGCTTCAGGAAGGTAAAGAGACCTTCTCGTCCCCAGCCTGGCTCTGCCCTTTCTGTGGTGGGTGGCTCTCCAATGCAAGCCTAGTACCCAGAAGTTGTCCAAAGAGAAAAGTTACTCCACTCTCAGTGAGACGGCGGCTTCTTTTTTCCTTTTTTTAAGAATTATTTTAACTTTTGGGACCAGCAGTTGGCATAATGGCTATGTCACTGGACTCCCATGTAGTCGACTGTGGTTCAAGTCCCAGACCCAGTGGTTTAAACTCATACCACGTACGTGTGCATGTATGCCTTAGTGGGGAATGGAGGAGAAGGGATTGTGGTGTGGCCATTCCCCCTGAGGGGGTGATTTATCTCTTTCTATCTCTCTGTCTATCTTTCTGGGGAGCACACGCACTCTATAGCAAAAACCTCTCCAAGAGAAGAAAAAAAAAAAAAAAAAAAGAAACCG